CAGGCACTTTTGAGAGGGGAAAAGCAGAAGGAAAAGTGGAACATGTGACTAAAAGTCATGATCCTGTCACCAGTGTAATGGGAGAATAGATGGTGATGGTGGCAATGGAAGCTAAACGGAGACACAGTGAAACATCCAGAGGCATCAGAATGACTCATCATTTGGACTGCAGAACATGTAGAACATTTTTTTTTCTGTTTTGTTGCTCTATAGGGAGCTTTAGAAGCTGCAGAAAGAGTGTAAACTTCCCCAAAATGAAGTGATATGTCCTGCTGAAACTGAAGTTTTGAACAAGTAGCAGGAAAATACAAATTTCTTGCTATTTCTGGCTATGTAGTTGCCAAATGCTCCATTATGTTCACCAGCTAGTGGCTTTATCTTTCTATTATTTGGTGCTGGGCACATAGTGCGCATGAAAAGGGAAGGACGAGAAAGGAACATGCTTTTAAAGGAAGAGGAGTAATGGGACTGTTACTGTACATGAACAAACCTCTCACCTCCTCAGTCCTCACCACAGTGTGCCAACAGCGGGGGGGGAGGTGAGCAAGACGTTAACGGTGCAGGAAATAAAGAGGATTATAGGTGAAGGATGAGGAGACGAGGAGGGGAATGGGGAGAATTTGCTTGAAGCAGGAGCCGGTGGGAGAGCTCTCCCCTTGGGTGTTCCTGTCAGGACTCCGGGGAAGCAGACATAATTCACTTAATTGGTTCTCACTGTTACACATATAAGACAAAGCAACAGAATCTCAGAGGGATTTTTATCCTCTATGGGCCAAAGGTAGCAACCACTTCCCTCTGCTGTCTCAGCAAATGAAGTCGTTTTTCCACTCAGTACTTTGCTCCAGTCACATATTTTCTGCGGTTCATTCACCGGTTTACTATCACAGCCTTGTTAATTCTATACAAGGAGCTAATTTGAAAAGATACAAGCTCAAATCACAGCAAAGGAACAACTGTGTAAACATCATAAACTCTTTGATCTCTGCATGAAATTAACAAATTAAAGAGACTAATCCTGTTTGAGACTGTAAAGAACTACATGAAACATGAAATACAGAGATCACAATCTTCTCGAATATGCCCCGTTGCTCTCATTACAGGGCGTTCTAGCCTGTTGATGGATTTAAACCATCACGTAAACAGTCTTAGTATTATACATAAATCACATGACAGCTCCCTTCCCTACTCTCCCAAAACAGGACAAGAGTGACCCCTTTCCCTAAATTCCCAGGACGACTGACCAATGCTTTGTTTATTTCTTTAACCTGCGACCCACTAGACACTCTGACTGAGCTAAATGAGTGGGCTTTAGACTAACCTTTGTGTGCAGCATGAGCTTAAACCAGTGTGTGGTTGTACAAGGCAACATGCCATTAGAAAAGCTCATAAAGCAAAATCTGAAAAAACCTTAATCTTGAGTTCCCATATGAACAAGAGTGGAATATTTCCCCCACTGGGCTTTCCGACAAACTTATCTGTATGATGAATTTGAAGATCCAAGAGTCACTGCTTTTTGTAGAGAGTTCCAAATCACTGTTAGCTAAGACTTGTGATATGCTGTTATCTATGGATGGTTTATGTTAACTCTACAAAAACTAATTTTGCCCACTGTAAATAGACAGCACTAATAGTAAATCTGCTTAACTTAATTTAAGAATTCATGTGTGCTAGTTATATGATGCACATCAGGATGGTTTAAAAGTTAAAGACACTCTATGGCTTTTTTTCTTTCTGTGAAGTCCTCAGGTTATTCATTAGCAGGGTACTGATATTCAACATGCCAAGATTTTCAACATTAAAAAATGTACTACAAACAAACCTATATTAATGAAGGAATGTGCTTATAGCCTTCTCTCTGAGAGTTAGATGAGAATGATACCACTCTCATGTTTCACCATTAAATGTAAAGCTACAGCAGGAGCCGGTTAACTTAGTTTAGCGCAAAGACTAGAAACGGGGGAACAGCTAGACTACACAATCCGCCAGCACCTCTAAAATGAATCAAATTTCATTCAGGGTATCAACAATAGTCAGAGAGCATATAAATGCTAGAACTTGGGGGAAAAAAAAGATTAAGACAAAATACACAGAATTGTATTCCAAAAGTTCCTTTCTAGGCAATTTTTGGTGACCTTGTTTCATTAGTGTATGTCTAGAAGCATGGTGCACATCCTGTATAGACACAGCAAACCTTTTAACAAGAACTGCATGAACTGTGTGAACCTCATTCGTGTCACTCACCCTCCTGTCTGTCTCTCATTCAGTGGTGTGCATGGACTCTCTGAGGGGCAAAAATGTAATAAATTGAAAGACACGCTTGCTGTTAGCATGCATACTGTGTGTGCAAGCATAAGCAAAATAATTATAGACTGTAGCCATGGTAAAAAGAAGCATTTTCCTTGTGACATTAAGGGAGAATGAGGCATGTAAATGTCCCATTACGAAGCTTATACATGAAATAGAGAGGGCGTCTTGTGTGCTTCTACAGTAAACTTGAACCACCAGAAATGCATGTGCAAGTGCCCCCTTCCTGTGTGACGTTACAGTTAAAATGCACAAAAAAAGTCCATTATGGTAAACAAACTGTATCCTGGTTTCAAATACTCTTCTTTACTTAAAGCAATGCAACCGTACTCCGAGATGGTCATCTTCTGGTGTTCACTCTACTATTAACCTGTGTTTACTCAAAAGAGTAAAGGTAGATAAGATTAGTTATGATTTCAGCCAGTAAGATACACACTGTGAGGTCTGTTGATGTAGGCTCAGTATTTGCTGAAGATACCCTTATCTCTTGTTGTTTTGGCATATATTTACCTGCAAACCAGTCTTTTACTACTGTGTTAACGCATGCTTTTTAAAAGGGTTAAAACAGACAATTAAATTTCAAATGGTCCAATCAAGCAATGATGAAACCATTACTACGAATGAATAACATTTAGTCTTGTGTTACAGCATTTGTTTATTTTATTTCAGATAAGTTCATCTGTCACAGTGACTGACACGGCATCATATTTTATGAGCTCATCATACATTTACAGACATAATCTGTGGTCTGTCTGGGTGATACGTTTCCCACCTGCCACTAAAGTAACCAGCTCACCCAAACTCCCCTATTCACTCACCCCTCTCCCAGACACACACACACACATACACACACACCTCCACAGCATTAATCCCACCAGGTTGCTGGGTTCTATGGGGGTCAGCGTTTGCCGGACGCAGCTTTTATTTGGGCCCGATTACTTTTGGGCACAGTCATCGTATGGCCTCTGTCGACAGGGATAACGCGCATTGGGGTCGGATTGGCGTCCGCCTCACTGGCTCCATTCACTGGGCCAGGCACAATCATTTAGAACTGGCAGACCTAACACCTAACCCACAGAGCCGGGCCAGCCCAGTCAGCAAATATACAACACTCCCCCCTCCCCCCTCCCCAACCCACCCC